TTTTTCTTACAAAAAAAACCTTTATATTCACGTGAACAAGGTTGAAATACAAAAAGATGATCAAAGCTATTAGTGAAACTTCAAGATTGGCATCACGAAGTTAACTTCCTATGAAATTTGATTCAGCCAATTAGAATCCTTGTCGATCAACCAATGAAATTAAGTATGATCCAGTGATGCTAACCAACCCGTTATAGTTAAAAATATTCTAATTAAATTTTGAAATTTTATACTTACTTTTAGCATATCGGCCAATTAATCAATAATTATCCATATTTTTATTAAGTACACAGTTAATTAATATACTTTTATATAATTTATTCATATTCGTTTTTCGTAAAAGAATACAGTTTTTTAAGTCGTTAAAAATCAACAGGTTATTCAATAATTGTAATAGCAAATAGCGTAATATATTTTATAATAAAATACAATTGGAATTGTCTTCAATATATATTTAAGATTATATACATTTAACACGACATCGTTATTTGCATATATTTATGCTAAAAAAAAAATTAACCAAATATTTTAAAATGTTGTTTTTTTACAAAATAAAAATGTTATTCCAAAATACATAGCAATATTATGAATGAATTATTCGTATCACTCAGCCCGTACTTTTGCTAAAGCTTTATCCGCTTTCCAAAATTCTACAGTATCTTTTCTAAATTGGAAATCATCAATCTCTTCAATTATTTCATCAATATTTTCATCAATTAATTTACAATCAACAAATTGTTTAATATCCAATGGACTATCTGCTTTATAATACTTCAAAATATAATAAATCCAACTTTGAATAATCGTAGAAACTTCTATCGCAGTAGGTCTTTCAGAAGGATCAGGTTCCCAACATGCATTCATTAAATCAGCATAACATTGTGGAAATTTTTGATAATGACGATCACCTTTGCAAATAAGCTGTAGATCACGTGTTCTGTCGTTAAATGGTGGAATTCCTGTAACAAGCTCCCACATAATCATAGAAAAACTATATACATTACTAGCCGTAGTATAAGGTTTACCCTCCAAAACTTCGGGAGCAATGAAAGATAGAATATTATCATTTTTAGAAGTAATTTGAGAAATGAAATACTGATTTAACTCCAACCCATTATAATTATTACGAACTCTCTTTGTTAAAATACTACTAGTACAAAGATCACGATGAATAAGGTTAGAGTCATGTAATTTTGTAAGTTCAATGATAATATCATTCAGCATGTTTAATTTAGTATACCAATTAAATTCAGGCATACATGTTCTTAAATTTTCTTCGCGAGTAATCTATATAATTTAATTATGTTCGTAATGTCAAAAAAAAAAAATAGGTAAAATAAAAAACCAAATAAAACATTAAATATTATACCTCATTTAAACAATATTCACTTAATACTGATGATTTACCAAGACTATTATTAACTATCCATTCATAAATAGACCGAGCGATAGGATGAACTTTCACTTCTTTTTCATATTTAACTTTTTCAAGTATATTGGATTTAATCCATTCAATTTGTTGAACATACAGTAAAGTTCCTTTAAGAAATCCGTCAATATCTTCATTTCCACTAGTCCACTTAGAAATTTTTTGTGTTGGATTAAACCTTTACGATATATAATAAACAAAAGTTATTAAAGTTTGGGGAATTCATATAAAAAAAATGAAATAGCGACAGAAGAGAAACTTACATCTTTAAATGTTGTCTTGAATATACAAATTTAAGTGGTCATTCTACTGATTATTGCTATCTTTTTTTTAAAATTGACAATAAAAAAAAAAAAAAAAATATGTGAATGTTTTTTGAATATTTGCAGATCAGAGCCTAAAAAAAGAACTATACTTACTATATGGGTGCTATTAAAATTGACATAGTAAATCATATGATCCGTATCTCAATTTTAATAGATCACCACCCATATATCAAAAGGTAGCAATTTTTTTGTTCCGTTCCGCTAAACAAATCTAACCAAATGTGGTAAGTCAATTTTGCGAAAGAAATTTTTTTCTAAATGTTATTAATTAATGTGTATGTAAATAAATGGTCAACGAAAATAACGAAAACCACGAAAACCACGAAACTTCAAACTCTAAATCAAATAAAAATAAAGAATATAATTCTTTATTACCTTTTAAACCTAACGAGACTTCTTACCACCTTTACCACAATTAAAATATGCATTTCTCAAACCCATATCAATTTAATCTAAGTTTTTTTCCACCTATCCAAAATACAAGAGTTCCGACTATAAATTCTATTCTTTTACCTTCAGCTCAACAAAAAGATAGTGAACAAATTTATCAATATAATAATATATATAATAATAATAATAATCATAATAATGTTGTTGAGTTACATCAAATTAAAATTAACAGTTTATTGGAAAATAAAGTAAATGACAAGGTATTTTAAATTTATTTATATATTTCTTTTTTAAATATAATAAATTTTATTATTTACTAATTATTAATTATTAATTATTAATATAGTTTAATTTAGATCAATTAGAAACAGCAAATAAATTAGCAGCAATATCTAAAAGAAATTATCAAATGGTAGAAGATAAAGCACAAAAAAACTCTTAAGATCAAAATTCCTGGAATGATCTTGAAATAAAAATCATGCTGGATTTTATATCTGAGAATTACAAAAAGTGGTGTAATTATAAAAATAAAGTTTATGAAGATTTAGTGAAGTCAAAAGTTTTACTAGATCGAGATATTGGTCAAGTTAGGAATAAGATAAACAAGCTTCGTGGAAAATGTTTTGATAAAAGAAAAGAATGTAATAAAACAGGAGCTAATCAATCTATATGGGAATGGTATGAAAGATTTGATAAACCTTATAGTCATAAAGAATATGCTAATCCTTCATATATCTCTGATAGTATAGTTATTAATAAGAAAATAGAAAAATATGATAAAATTTTGATTAATGATGTAAAAGTAAAAAAAAGAAATTAAAAAAACTAATAATAGTTCAAAAAGATATAAATCAAATATTATAGATACCCTTTCTAGTACAATTGTATCAATGAATGAATCTAAAGATAAATTTTTTGATAAAAAATTAGATTTACAGAGTAGAGAAATGAATAGTAAATGGAATTAGAAAAATATAAAGTTGATCAAAAAATGGAATTAAAAAGGTTAGAATTAGAAATTTTAAAACAGAAACTTGAAATAGAAAAAAATGCTAAAAATATGAAAAAAAATTAAAGTTAGAGAAAATGAAACTAAAACAATAATGTTTTATAAATTTTTTTTTTTTTTGAATTTATTGATTAATAAAATTAATTTGCTTTTATAATGAATAAATTTATTAATATTAATATTATACGATAAATTACACGAATAATTATATAAAATGTTATGTAAAATCATTTACAAAAAATTATATAGTTTATATTTATTAATGTTTTATTACATATACAAAAATCAAGAAAATTATAAATTGATCAATTCCATCATATAATTTCTTTTAATTTTTTCAATTCTTTTTAATTCTGCATCACTTTCATACAAATTATTGGTTATATCATTAAAATAAATATTAAATACATATTCTTTCTTCCAAATTTCACCATTTAATTCTAAAGAATTATATAAAATCATAGCATAATCTGTTAAATCTATCTACAGCTAATTTAATAATTTTACATTTAAATTTTGTAATACTACAAATCTAGCCTTTAATTTACCAAAAGCATACTTCATAATAATTCTATATTTAGAATGAATATAATTAAATCTTTTTTGTGTATTTGAGGTATTCTATATGAAGGAATTAAAAAAGAAGAAATTAGATAAGCAGATCATCAAGTATTACATCATTTTTTTAATAAATTCATTTCTATATAAATAAAATAAAGAATTTGTATAAACTTTAGCATCATGAATACTTCCTGGTCAACCTATTACATAATTTGTAAAAATTTTTCTATTGCTTAAACTTATATAGAATAATATTTTTCCTATTAAAAAATACTTCAGGACCTTTAGGAGGTTTATTAATTAATATTATATGAGTTTTATCAATTGCACTAACTACATTTTGAAAATCACTATTCCTAAACTCTTGTAAAATTTTTTGTCTTTTTTCATTGTCATTTAACTATTTTACAAAATTTAATTTAAAGAAAGAATAACTATTAAAACATGTTTGATATACAATATAATAGTGCTCTCTGCTATACTATATAAAGCACAAATAGTAAATATATCACCTTTACTTGCTAATTTACATAACAATACAGCTAATTGTAAAGATATATCAGCTTGTTATTTGTTATTATTTGCATTAAAAATTGAATGTCTAGTACTCGATAAACATGCTTAAGTTCTATTTCTAGTTCGAGTCATTGCTGAAGATTTCGATAATGTATAATATAGCAGTTTTTAGTCTCCAATGTGGTTACCAATTTTTCTGTCTCAGCAAATTTACCCCCACTCAAAATATCAATCAAGTCATTATTTTGATGAGGGCCAAACTCTTGACACTTGACTATTCGACGTTCTAAACAGAGTGGGTACTCAGTATGTATTTGATAGAGATAATCTGGATATTTTAATTTTACTTCCCAAGCACTACCTCATTTAGCAGTTGGTGAAATAGACTGAATATCTGGCAAATTATTTAGGTCGAGCCACCAGGATCCTCCTGTCGGTAAATATTGTAATATAACCCATCCGTATAAATTATTGGCATCTAAATATAGGAGCCATTTATTTGCATTATGTTTATTATAGCCTTTCATTCTAAGAAAATTTGCTTTTGCTAAACGTCATAGAGTTATAGTATTTTTGCCTCGCATTCAGCGTTGGATGAATTTGTGCATATCTTCTTACTCTTTATGAAATAATTCAAGCTTGATCTTAGTCATCTTTTTTAGCATGTCAAATGCGAATGATGGCAATGTAATATAATTCAAAGGATCTAATCCAGATACTTCCTTCATTGTTGTTCGAAATTTCTGAATTGAGTCTACTAATATTAGAACATCAGTTCTTAGATATAAATCATGATAATCTCCAAATGTTTTACACTCTACTTTCTCCCATACTGTCTGCGCATGGTCATATTGCTTTTGACTAATGGTATAAATTTTTTTATGCTCAAAATCATCTATCTCTTTTAAATCCTCTTCTTTGCATTTTTTGTGTTCGCAATCCTCTTTTTTACATTTATAATTTCTATTACACTTTTTACCCTTTATTTTATGTATGCACTTTCTACATCCTTGCTCGCAATAATTTAGTCCACCTAGTACTGTATTAAATTCTTTTCTTAATAGAAGCTCTGTTCTAGAGAAGCGCTCAGGTTCATTTAATTCGTATGGGTACTCATTTTTTGAGTAAGTAGCAGGAGTAAATGCTTAGATATGCTATGCATCATAATCAGAAAACATTTAGCCAATTGTTCTGGAGACTTTTCTTGTTAACGCAAGTTGTTTGCTACTTTTCTAATGATAGAAACTGGAATTGACAGGAATCTATAAACTTTATCTGACCAATTATTATTGTCTTGTAATTTTCCTGGTTGTCTGCAATTATTTCGATTTTGTCTTAACTAACTAGGCCTAATTCCTATACTTCATGATGGAAATCATAATGCTTCCCTCCGTAATATATCAGTAGAATCTTAATTTCATCTAGCTTTATCCGAAGTTGAAGATTACAGCCATAGTGTACTGGACTACAATACATTCTGGTAAAATGGTCATGATCTCTAACCTTATTTTTGAAATCTTCTTAAAGCTTTTTTTTGCAAAAGTAGCATTCAGTTGCTTTTTCGAAAAGACTTAGCTCCTCTATTCTCATACTTTCTATACAGTACATAGCATCCTTCTGATTTTCTTGTCTAGCATCACATATATTTTTAATACAACCATAATGAGATGCACCTAGAAACTTTCTGGAAGTATCAAAATATTTTATTTTATTATATTGGGTTTCTTTAGCTTTTCTTCACATATGTAGCATCTTATGCCTGAGTTATGTCTTCGCCAATCATGTTCTGTCATTTTTATTTTTTCTGGGATATGTAGCTTCAGCTTGATAATTTCTTCCAAATCTCGTTGCATGCTTTCCCATGATTCTGCAATTGAGTTTGGAATTCGTCTAGCAATTTCTTTTGCTAGCTTTCTATCTGTTTGCATAAAACATAACCATAACTATTAAGCTTCTACTTCTGTAATTTTACGGTCTTTTTATTGATAATGTTATTCTCTACCGGATCACTATCTGCTTCGAGATTCTTAACGAAATAATATAAAACATTTTCCATTGCTTTATAGTTTTTAAATTTCATGATATGCATCCCTTTTTCAGGAAATATTTCTCCTTGGCCAGCATTTAGGATTATTTCGGCCATGGCAGTTGTGCTCTATATGTTCTTGAAGTAAATCTAATCTTGAGAATGGAGCAATCATACAGTGACAACAGAAATACTTTCGCCTATAATGCTTATTCCAAGTTCGCATGATCTGATTCTATCCATTTTCACTATTGATAAGACAATAGTAAGTATTTAATCCTGAAGGGATTTCATTAATATTACGGCGATCTCTCAAGCCTTCTTCCCCTTCAGTAAATAGTATTAAATCCACCATATACTCTCTGTTATAATTATATTCTGATATGCAGAGTGGATCCAGATTTCTGGTCAATTGCTCTTTATCATTTTTGTGTGTTATTGAATAAAATACATTTACTGCATAATTTGGATTTTTCTCTTCGAATAAGTCTATATTTCGCAATGTGACTGGAAAATTTATTCTGAAGAAGTCTAATATAGCCATAACCTATTAATATCATGAAGATATACTGCCTTACAGCCCTGTTTACGAGCCTCTTCACTAGCTAAATGAGCCTTCATGCAATCTTCAAAACATCTTTTATTTGTATTTTGCGGATTAATTATCCCTAATTGAGGCTTTGCCCATATTTTTGGTAAAGCAAAATGGAAACTACCTTAAAGTAGCTGGTATGCACTTATATCTAGAAAGATTTTTTTACTGTACTCATATATCCAGCCCGAATGTTGATTTTGCTCCATTTCGTCAATTTTATCTAAAATTTCATTATATTGACGAGAAACTGTTTGTTCTATTAGATCCTGGCGAATAATATCTAAAATTTCACTTGGAAATGCTATATCTTGATCTATTCGATGACCAAAATGACCTCCTTCTTGTACAATTCGATACATATGAGCAATAAGAACTAATTTTATTTTAATACCCCCTAATCAAGCTAATTCTCTTCTATAAATATCACTAATTTGGTCTTTAACATCCTCAAACATGGTTAAGGAATTTCTCGAAATGGATAAGTTTCTGGAATAATAGCGAGATGATCGATATATAAACCTTGGTCAGAATTTCTTCTAGTTTTTACTAATCTTTTTGGGGTTGGATCTTCTATTTTTCAAAATATTATTTTTTCTTCTTCAGCTTCGGTCTCATTATCTGATTCTGCTTCATCTTCATCTTCATCAGCAGTCTCATAGTCACTTTCTCCCTCTGGCTCTACCTCTGACCTTTTTAGTTCTGGTAGTTTAGAAGACTCAGATAACTCAGGTGGTGTCGGGTCTCCTCAAAAGTTTCTGAATAATTGTCTTAATACACCAGTGATATTACCTAGTATTCCGTTCATTTTTTTCCAAAGAGTATATATGGTTACAAAAAGTTTAAAATAAAAATTAATTTATTCAGATAATTAGAGTTACATATTTATTCAAAAGAAGAAATTAGTATGGGATTTTATAATTGTCCTTATATTCTTAGAACTGGAGAGGTATGCAATAATAGGTGCTATCGGCCAGAAGGGGGTAAAGTTCATTGGAATTCTCCTAGACAAATTCCGTGTATAGAATACAGAAAATTAACTTTCTCTAATTATAGTGCCTGTAGAAAACATGCAGGTAAATATCGCATTCGAAATTTTTATCGACGCCAGAAGCTTGCAAAAATTCAGGCTTATGACAAGCTAGTTTTAGGCTAGAAAAAGGTAGTATAGGGTCATAAATCAATGGCTTACTAAATGGAAGGAAGCTTTATTCTTATGTTTTGGAAATATGCTCTGCTTTGCTCCGCAGACTACGAATATTATTTGTTCTCATAACTTGTGTATATGCTTCGCTTCACTCTGCAAACCTTATGTTCATTAATTATAATCCTATTTGCCTTATAATATTAGCATATATTTTAAGGTAGCATAAGGTCGAATGCGTATTCGTTGATATCACCCTAAAAGGCTTTGCTAGCTCATACTTATTCTTCTATATCAAACACACATTCATCATCGCTTCGCTCCTCCTCGTGTTTATTCTCTCTTGCTACCCAAGCAGTATGCTATTGGAAGGCGATTTGCTTACCATTTGCTTACTTATTATCATCCATATTTGTCTCATATATAGCATACATTAAAATATGGTAGCATATGATCGAAATGATATAGCATCTATATTCGCTTCGCCCTAAAGGGCTCACTCATATTTCTGCTATATTATTTTTCTTGTCGAATGCGTATTCACTTGCATCGCCCTAAAGGACTTTGTCAGCTCATACTTATTCTCCTATATTGAACGTGCATTTGTTGTCACTCTGCTCCTCCTTATGCTTGTTCTCTCTTGCTATCTAAATATGGTATGCTAATGAAAAGCAATTTGATTATAAAGTATACGAAAAATTTATGTTATTCAGGATGAAAGCCAAATGGGTTTCAGATAGAAATGTCTCAAAGTAAATTTTTTTTTACCACTTGAAAATAAATGATTTTAGAATGAATGCTAAACAAGAAAGCAAATTTGTTTTCTTATGGTTACAAGTATTAATTTATTATGATTTCATTATGCGATTTTTTTTGTAAGATTCAGGATGACCTCCTGGGACCATTTGAATACTTTTGTCCCAAAAAGCCCACTTTCCTACTACTAGTTTAAATTATTATATTTCATTATTTTTAATATATTTATATTATTTATTTAACAATTTTAATTTAATTCATAGGTATTAGAAAATTTGGTTAAAATAAAGTAGATTGGTATTTTGATGAATTAGTTCATGAAATAGAACAAATGATAGGAAAATTAGTTTCTATATCAATATTATG